CTATATTAAATCACCAAGAAACAACAAATCAACACATTTTTAAAATAAACATTAACTTTAGGTTCATTGGGCTCTCATTTTTGGCATAACCAACTGAAAGACCCCCTTGTAAAGCTATGTTTTGAAACATTTCTTTTCTAATTGTGCTTTTATATATACAGTTGGCTCAGTTGGTAAAGAATCCGCCTGCAATGCAGGAGACCCAGGAAGATCCACTGGAGAAGGGATAGGCGGCCCAGTGCAGTATTCTTGGGCTTCCCTTGTGGCTCAGCTGGTCAAGAATCTGCCTGCAATGTGGGAGACCTGGGTTCAATCCCTGGGTTGAGAAGACTCTGGAGAAGGGAAAGGCTAGCTACTCCAGTATTCTGGCCTGGAGAATTCCATGGACTGTATAGTCCATAGGGTTGCAAAGAGTAGGACGTGATTGAGCAACTTTCATTTATACACAGTTGGACAAAATGTCTATTTCCCTTAGAGAAAGAACCATCAGCATAAACAAAGGTAGTAAAACTACTTCCTTCATTTTGGTCTTTATTTCTTTCATTCATTCATGTACATAATAACTGATTAACTACATAACCTACTGGATGCTGAAAAGTATAAAATGACAGAAGTGTAGTTTCTGTCCTCAGGAAGTATGAATTCGATTAGGAAAGATGAATAAGTAAATAATCACTAAAATATGTGATAGAGAAAATTATTTGAGGATAAAAAAATGTTTCTGAGCAAATGAGGCAATGACCCAAAAGTCAGGGAACAGAGAGGGATGAGGGAGCAGTCACAGCAGTGGGTTGCTTGAGTCTGCCCAGCAAAGACTAGGAAGAGGAGGAGGGATCTTCTGTGGGTTATTCTACAGGGGACTGAGAGCATATCTAGAGCCCCTGACTTTTCTATTTTACATGAGCCTGAGAGAATCTATAGGAGAAAGAAGGGGAACTGCTGATCTACTTGGGGGTCAATGTGGTGTCCATGCTGAAGAGAGAGAGATGCAGAAGGGAAGCTGGCAGTGAAAGGATAAGCCCCTAGTTGGGTAATAAAGAGTTTAGGAATTAGGAATGAGTATCCAGATATATGAAGAAAAAATTAAAATGCCTTCAACTTTTTTATCTTGATTTTTAATGATGACTTGGGCAGGATATGATTTTTGTTCTTTAATAACAGCAATTGGTGGACAGCATATTCAATTGTGTTTTTCTGTTTTGGTTCAGTCAATTATGTGGTCATTTAGCTACCTTGGGGATTTTGGGTGATTAAGATTTGCTATTTTCTTTCAGATATTTAGTGTCCAAACTCTCCCCCAGTAGGGTTGCTCTGTATCATTGACCCACACAGTCTAAGATGGATGTGGCAGAAATGCATCCACAGACTCTGCATATCCAATTACAGGGAAGAACAGAAGGAATCCTTGAGGTTTATAAATGTATCTTTTAAGGTCACCCCTTCCTCCCAACGGGCTTCCCAGGCAGCTCAGTCAGTAAAGAATCTGCCTGCAATGCAGGAGATGTGGTTTGATCCCTGGGTCAGGAAGATCCCCTGGAGGAGGGCATAGCAACCCACTTCAATATTCAATATTGTCCAGGAAAATCCCATGGACAGAGGAGCCTAGTGGGCTACGGTCCATAGGGTCACAGAGAGTTGGACACGACTGAAGCAACTGAGCAACCAACCAACTACTTCCCAATGTGTATCCTAGAACAGAGATGAAAACACATCTAGGATGTACAACTCTGACCAATTGATCGTGGGCCTTACGGAATCTCTATTGGGAAGGATTCTGCGGCTGTACCCAGACTATACTGGTAGAGATGCATGCTTTGATTGTGGATCTTGATACCACATCTACCTTTGCCTCAAGATAGTTGTATGATGTTAGAGGAGTCATTTCACCATGCTGGACCTCAGTTTCTTCATATCTAAAACACAGAAATCAGGTTATCATTTCTTTCAGCCTTACCTTAAAATTCAAGATATGAAGAGGACTTTTTCTTTTACAGATTCATTCTCAGCTACTTCTTGTGCAGTCCACCAAAAAAAAAGGGACCCTGGACACAATATGTTAAGAAATAATTCATTTTAAACCTTAAGCTAACTTAATGGCAGGCTCTATTTTGGTAGAGTGACAGTAAAAGTTTGACACTAACACACAATTGATTGTGACCATGTGTGGACATCAGCATGTGGGATTCAATGGTCTGAATTGAAGTTATGGTTGGGTGAGACCCTTAGCTCCTACTTAGCCGCATGTTCCATCTTTTCATTATTTCCTTGTTGTTCTTTCTGTCTCTATTCTTTTTGCTCCACTCAACCGCCTTCCTTTTGAACCACGTTCCCTGGAGTCATAAGGGGACTGGATTCCTGCCTTGCTGGAAGTCAAGGCCTAGTTCTCAACATTTGTGTTTTGGTAGTAGGTAGAAATGCTGGAGGATGGGTTGTTAGAGGGAAAGATTATAGGGGAAGATGTCCAGATGAAGTTCTCAAGGCTGAAAACCAGTTCTGTTCAGTCACTCAGTCATGTCCAACTCTTTATGATGCCATGGACTGCAGCACACCAGGCTTCCCTGTCCATCACCAACTCCCCGAGCTTACTCAAAGTCATGTCCATCAAGTCAGTGATGCCGTCCAACCATCTCATCCTCAGTTGTCCCCTTCTCCTCCTGCCCCCAATCTTTCCCAGCATCAGGGTCTTTTCAACTGACTCAGCTCTTTGCATCAGGTGGCCAAAGTACTGGAGTTTCAGTTTCAACATCAGTCCTTCCAATGAACACCCAGGACTGACATCCTTTAGGATGGACTGGTTGGATCTCCTTGCAGTCCAAGGGACTCTCAAGAGTATTCTCCAAAACCACAGCTCAAATCCATCAATTCCTTGGTGCTCAGCTTTCTCTATAGTCCAACTCTCACATCCATCCATGACTACTGGAAAAACCATAGCTTTGACTAGATGGACCTTTGTTGGCAAAATAATGTCTCTGCTTTTTAGTATGCTGTCTAGGTTGGTCATAGCTTTTCTTCCAAGGAGCAAGCATCTTTTAATTTCATGGCTGCAATCACCATCTTCAGTTATCTTGGAGCCCCCAAAAATAAAGTCTTTCAATGTTTCCATTGTTTCCCCATCTATTTGCCATGAAGTGATGGGACCAGATGCCATTTTAGTTTTCTGAATGTTTAGTTTTAAGCCAACTTTTTCACTCTCTTCTTTCACTTTCATCAAGAGGCTCTTTAGTTCTTCACTTTCTTCCATAAGTGCGGTGTCATCTGCATATCTGAGGTTATTGATATTTCTCCCTGCAATCTTGATTCCAGCTTGTGCTTCATCCAGCCTGGCATTTCATGTGATGTACTCTGCATATATAGGTAGCACCAGCTAGGTCTTAGTCTCCTTATCTAAGGAGATAAGCCTGGTCTGCAGGAATCTGTAGGAACTACAAGGACCACCAACAACATCCTTGAAAGTGTCTTCTCCAAACTTAGCCTTACCCAAAGGGCACCTGAGATCCTTCTATTGGCTTGTTTTCTTGTTTTCTTTTTTTTGTTTGGCTTGTTTCTCAGGGCTGTCTCTGCTTCTCTGAGTTTGGGGGAGCAGCAGCAGATCATCCTGAAGATGATGGTCCTCCAAACCAGCTGCTCAGTAGACTCCTTAAGGAAGCTTTTGAAAAATAGTAATGCCCAGTTCCCACCCCCAGAGCTTCTGCATGAATTGGTCTGGTATAGAATCAAGAACTCATTTATGACTATGTTTTTATTCTTTAAATATTTATTTTTATTTGGCTGTGCTGAGTCTTAGTTGTGATATGCAAACTCTTAGCTGTGACATGGGGGATATTCTTCCCTGACCAGGGGTCAAAGCTGGGTGGGGCCAGAGTCTTAGCCACTGGATCACAAGGGGAAGTCCCTTATGAGTATATTTTTAAAACTCTTCATGTGATTCAAGTGCACAACTGAGGTTGAGAGAGGACTGGAGGGTATTATGCTTAGTGACATGAGCCAGACAGAAAATGACAAATACTGTATGATATGTGGAATATAAAAAATACAACAAACTCCTGAATGTAACAAAAAAGAAACAGACTCGCAGATACAGAGAATGAGCTAGTGGTTACCAGTGGGAAGGGAGGGAGTTGCAATATAGGGTTAGGGAGTTAAGGGGTACAAACGACTATGTCTGAATAAATAAGCTACAAGGGTATATTGTACAACACAGGGAATATAGCCAATATTTATTTTATAATAACTTCAAATGGAGTATAACCTTTAAAAATTGTGAATCACTGTGTTGTTTGCCTGAAACCTACATCGTATTATAAGTCAACTACACCTCACTAAAATAAGTAAATAGAAATCTAAAGGCTGTCCATGAAAGAAAGGATGGTCCACATCAGAAGTAATCCACTGGTGACCTGTGAAGCTAGCATATGGACAGCAGATATATTTTGTTTGGCCAGAACAATGTTAAAATAAAAATTATCAAAGAAACAACCCTGAATTTGAGTACCTTTTCAGGAGGCGTGACACCCGGCAGGCTTCTGTAATTTCTTTTTTTTTTTTTCCATTTTTTTTTATTAGTTGGAGGCTAATTACTTTACATCATTGCAGTGGTTTTTGTCATACATTGAAGTGAATTAGCCATGGATTTACATGTATTCCCCATCCCGGTCCCCCCTCCCACCTCCCTCTCCACCCGATCCCTCTGGGTCTTCCCAGTGCACCAGGCCCGAGCACTTGTCTCATGCACCCAACCTGGGCTGGTGATCTGTTTCACCCTAGATAATATACATGTTTCAATGCTGTTCTCTTGAAACATCCCACCCTCGCCTTCTCCCAGAGTCCACAAGTCTGTTCTATACATCTGAGTCTCTTTTTCTGTTTTGCATATAGGGTTCTCGTTACCATCTTTCTAAATTCCATATATATGTGTTAGTATACTGTAATGGTCTTTATCTTTCTGGCTTACTTCGCTCTGTATTGTAATTTCTATTATTGAACACTTGCTTGATGTTTAGTTATACAGCTCCTGCTTTGCTGAGACGAATGTACAGAAAGCCAGCTGCTGTCCCCTTGTGAGAGGAAGAATACTGCTAGAGCGGTAGTGATCATGGTGGGGGCGATGGAGGGACAGTAAGGAGGTCATCAGAAGCTCCCAGGTAATCCACCTGAAATTAAGACTCCTCCCTTCCCTGAGTTCCTACCCATTAGCCACACTATTTTCAAGGTTATAGTAGCGCTCCAGCCCCAATTATATGACAGGCTACTTCCAAAGGGGAAAGAATCTCCCAGGATGGGTCAGTTTTATGGGTGTTAATTGGACCCTGGTGCTAGGGGATCATGCAGCAGAGGAGCAGCGCTTGGAGCCCACTCCAAGAAAGCTTCTTTTCAGGAGCCTTGTTTGGTACAGTGAGCTGAGTCTGGGCAGGGCTCCAGAAAGACTGTTGTTGCAGGCTTCTACCAGCAGCATGGATTGGCAATGGGAAATATTCCCCAAGGTCAGGAGCAGGGCCTTTGCCTCCATGTAGATAATCAGGAGGCATAGGAGGCACTCAGACATTGTAACTTTCCTGCCTCCTTCAGTATTTCTCAATATATAGGAAATCCCTTTCTAGAAAATTACGAACACCCTTTATCTCAAACTGTCAACACAAACCCATCTTTTTTCTACCACAGGTATTGATTCATTTTCTTGGCATCAGAGATTCTATCACACAGTTTTCAACCTGCTAACCCTGCTCCCACATGACGTCCCAGTTGCAGAGCAGGGCATACTGTAGGTGTCAATGGATGGTGAATGGGTTTAGTTCATTCCCAGTTCCATTTTTGTATACTTACAGGTTGGGCTATACAAATCTCACAATTCACTTGGAGATCACACATTACTACTAGTACTGAAAGCTCAGAAGTAATCTTAATTCCTCAGCCATAAAAAAGAATGAAATAATGCCATTTGCAGCAACATGATGGACCTAGAGACCATCATACTAAGTGAAAGAAGTCAGACAGAGAAGGACATGCCATGTGATATCACTTACATGTGAAATCTAAACTATGACACAAAATGAATCTATAAACAAAACAGAAACAGACGCACAGACATAGAAAACAAACTTATGGTTACCAGAGGGGAGAGGGTGAGGGGAGTGATAAAGGAGCATGGGATTAACAGATACAAACTGCAATACATAAAACAGATAAGCAACATGGATTTACTACATAGCACAGGGTACTATATTCAATATCTTATATAATATTAACATATATCTCTACATTCAGTTATATGTATATAACAAAGTGATTCAGTTATATATATATACTTATAAGCTATAAACTATATGTAACAATCACTTTGTTGTATACTTGAAACTAATACTGTAAATCAACTATAATTTTTTTTAAAAAAGGAGTAATTATGGTGTGAATTAGCTGTACATTTTTAAACTGCCAAAGCCAGCCCCAGTTTGTAGTCAGGACTTCCATTTCTGCCTCCTTGAAAAGTTGTTACAAAAGGTCAGTTCAGTTGGTGTCTTAACCCTCACTGTGTCCCTGTCTGCTTATGTCCACAGTGAAAAGGGCACATAAGCGGACAGGCCTGCATTCAGATTCAAATACGGTGGGAAGGAAGTGGCTTGGGTTCCTTTCTGCTGCAGCAGGCACTGTGGCCCCTCACCTTTCCAGACTCGGTATGCTATACCCTCAACTGCCGGGAACATAGCTGAGAGTCAGAATGTACTATTTTTTTAATTTCCTTGTTCATTTCTAAGACTCTGAAACACACAAAACTTACAAAACAAAGTCTGTATACCAGGATCTTATTTTGGGTGTGATTTTTGTGGCAATTTCTCCCCAGTCTTCTAGGCTGGACAGCACAGGTGAGCTATGCATGAATCCCTCAGATTCACTGCACATTTCTTCTATAGGACTACCCGTGTCGGGGGTCCTTCAATGGGAACATAAGAAAGGAAACTATCTTTATTTGAACATATCTACCTCCCTATAGGCAGACAAAATTTCTGCTGAAGAACTAGACCCATTTCGACTAAAACAAGCCTCATGAATGGAGGTCATTCTGGTTTTAATCTTTGCTCCTTCCTCTGGGGTAGTGGATGGTGGTGCAGTTCTCTAACCGTGAGCAGCTGGGACAGAGCCACCTTTTTGTTTATGAGGTTTTCACACATCTGTATATTCTCTTCATCATCATGTAAGGTATTTACGGGCACAAAAATTTATCTTCTGGACTGTTTATTGCTACTCCCAATGGGGAGACTGACTTTGATCTCTTCTTTTTCTGTTCTTACATTGGACTCTTGATCACCTTCTCATGTTGGAAGTCATGGATGGACTTCCAGGGTCTCATTTGCTCTTTGCTCACTCACTCAATGAGAGGTGCAGGGTTGCGTTAAACCCCTTCCTGTCCATTCTAATGCTAGGCGCAGGACCACACTGGTCACGTCTTTCTTGAGGTCACACTCGTGCACTGGTGATTCCAGTTCTTTGAAAGGTTTGACTCTGGAAACCAACCCAGTTCTGCTGTCTCTGTCATTGGACGGGCTTATGCCCAAACCCCAGTGTCCTGGATAAGGAGAAGTTAGCTCTCTGGCTGAACAATGTTTCTTTACCAAAATCTAATCCACAGAACACTAGGTAATGGGGATGTAAGTACTACACATGATATAAAGCAAAAAATGGTACCATGTGCGTCCTGATGGAGGAGTGGGGGCCTTGTACTTGTTCACTGATCCACTTATTTATGACATCCTTAGTGAGAACTCTAGGGGACACCCCTGACACGCTTCCCAGGTCCCAGCTTTTCTGTGCTGCATGGTTAGCTGCTCACAGTTTCCCCTTTCCTCTAAGCTGACTGTGGCTGCTGAAGTCATCTTGTCTGCTGGGAGTTTATTCCCCACTGTGCACTCCCTGGCCTCTGCCACTCAGTGACTGACCTCGCTGTGGGAGGGAGTATTTGGAATACTGCCTTCCTTGCCTCCCAAAGGGACAAACTCCGAGTTGCAGCTGACAAACTCTGAGTTGCAGCTGACTCTGATTCCCCTGGGAATCAGAGACCAGGACTTTCTTCTGCCATCGCACCATTTCTTGACAGCATCCTCTTCTCTCTCCAGCCTCCCTGCTTCCTTAACAGTTTCTCCCAGAAGCATGTCCTTAATAAATCACATGCACTCATATTTCTTGGTTCAGGGTCTGTTTCTAAGAAAAAGCCGTCTAAGAGAAGCACCTTCTATATGCCAGGCAATGTGATTATGTTGTAGTGTGAGAGACCACAATAGGAAAATTAAAAATAAAATGTAAATCAGTTTTAAAATGTCATTAGACCAATGAGGACCTACTGTCTAGCACAGGGAATCCTGCTCAATGCTATATGACAGCCTGAATGTGGGGGAAGTTTGGGGGAGAATGGATACATGTATATATATGGCTGAGTTGCTCTGCTCTGCACCTGAAACTATCACAACATTGTTAATTGGTTATACCCCAATATGAAATAAAAAAAAAACTTTTAAAATATCATTAGGCACCTTGGATCTGTAATGAAATCCATGGTGTGCTGGTCGGTGTCATTAAAAACTTAACTTACCTACAGGTAGAAGATCTGTTCTCAGAAAGCTATATGACTAATGCTGATGAAAATGACACAGACAGACAGAAAGGTCCACTGTGTTCTTGGGATGGAAGAATGAACATCGGTAAAATGACCATACTACCCAAGGCAATCTACAGATACAAGGTAATCCCTATCAACATACCAATGGCATTTTTCACAGAGTTAGAACAAATAATTTTAAAATTTGTATGGAGACACAAAAGACCCTGAATAGCCAAAACAATCTTGAGAAGGGAGAACAGAGCTGGGGGAATCATGCTCCCAGACCTCACTACACCACAAAGCTACAGGCAGAACCGCACTTCACACCTTGTCATTGTGCTCTCAATCATAGACCCACCTTGCCTCTCCCCACTGTGCTCTCTGCTCCCATCTTGACTCTGGTTCAGATTCTCCTCCAGTTATGCTCCCCTGGCTAATATCTGCTTGCTCTTCCATTACCACTGGGCTGGAGGAAGCACAAGCTGGAATCAAGATTGCTGAAAAGACCCTGATGCTGGGAAAGATTGAGGGCAGGAGGAGAAAGGGACGACAGAGGATGAGATGGTTGGATGGCATTACCGACTCAATGGACATGGGTTTGGGTGGAATCTGGGAGTTAGTGATGGACAGGGAGGCCTTGCATGCTGCGGTTCATGGGGTCACAAAGAGTCAGACACGACTGAACGACTGAACTGAACTTCCATTACCACTACCTGAAAGACCATTTTCTGTCATAGAAGCCTGCCCTCCCCACCACTACCCAACCCGACCACTAGGGGCCAGTGCTTCGGCCCAGGGAGTAGACCCAGCCTACCCTCCCTCCAACAAGGAGACAAAAGACAAAATAGGATTGCGTTGAAAGCTCCCAGCTCACATGATCAGCTGCCCATCCTAAAAAACAAAGTCTTTTAACACTTCCATTTTTTTTTTTTTTAGCTCTTTTCTACGTTTTAGGTATGGAGTCCATGGATGCTAAAAGGCATACATGTATTCAGACAGGAGAATATGTGTTTTGCAAAGAGGGAAAGACTTCAGATGTTCCCGCTGGAGCCTATTTAACCTATTGCATAAAGCAAAATTCTAATGAGCTCTGTTACCTCCTTTCTGAGTCCACAGCAGATTGGAGAGAAGGTGGAGTCAACAGTGGTGTTAGGAATGGGCAGTAAGACAGGGAGAGAACAGGTGAAAATGGAAATAGAAGGAAGAACTCAGAATGTAAGACAGGCAGTTCATATGCAGACCACTAGGTTTGTAGTAGGAAAAAGTCGGATAACCATACTCAGAACTTTGCCACTTCTTAGCTCTTCATTGTCTTATTCATATATGGGCATAGAGTCATTTTTCACAAAAAGAAATAGGAGCCTCCTAGAAAATGATTAATGTTGGTCATTGTACTTTGTCATAGAAGGCAACAAAGAAAGTAATACACCTTTTAAAAAATGTTAATCTTCTGGTTAAATAGTAATAGCATTTGCTAAGTACAATGTGCTAATGTATTTATTTGCATGCATGCTCAGTTGTTTCCAACGCATTGTGACCCTGTGGACTGTAACCCAGCAGTCGCCTCTGTTCAGGGGATTTCCCATGCAAGAATACTGGAGTGGGTTGCCATTTCCTTCTGCAGGAGATCTTCCAGACCCAGGGATCAAATGTGAGTCTCCTGCGGCACCTGCATTGGCAGGCCAGTTCTTCACCACTGAATTGTCATAACTCTGCAAGGTGGGAACTATCAGCATTCTCATTTTATAGGAAAGTGAGGTTTTGAAAACTTAAGTCTGGTGCCTGCCTGCCATCCAGTTAGCAGAACCAGCGCGGGAATTAGGCATCACAGCCCACATCTTTAATCATTATCTTCTATCTGCAAAACCTGGCAAGTTATCATGGTCCATGGGTTACACTAGCAGCTCTTTGGAGCATTCTCTTTATTCATGGACCATGTCTGATAAACAGGGCTATCTTTTACTACTTAAACTGGCTAATTCCAAGAGAACGTTCAAAGTAACAGAATAAATATAATATTCACAAATATTTAATTTTAAAAAAGACAGTTAAATCATGAGAATTTATTTGATTCTGCTTCTAAGATATCTCCGTGTGGGGGACACGTCCACAAGCTCTGGCGGAGGTGACTCGTGTTTACCAGTCCTTCAGGTCGTTTGTCTTTGCCAATCCACGGGCTTCTCCGCAGCCCAGGTCTCTGCCCTTATGAGAAATGTGGACACCTTCTCCTGCCCTCCACAAGAGGGCGCTGGGCTTCCCAGTACAGGACCCACCTAAGTGCCAAGAGACCCGCTGAAACAGGACATAGCCACTAGAGGGAAGCAGTGAGGTCCTTATGCTTCATTCTTCCCTGAGGTTCAAATTTGTAGTATTTGTTTTTGATGTCATCATTTTAAAGATGCTCCTATGTGACAGACAAATTTTATCGTACGCGGATGGTGCCGGAGAAAACAGGGCTCTGCAAACCAAGGGGACACACTTCAGTTCAGCATTTCTATCTCGTCAGGGTGAGCCTGATATCAGCAGTTAACTTCTCCGGAGGCCCCAGGTAGTTTACCTAGTAGAAAAGGTATTTTCTTCTGCTCAGTCTATTCATAAACATTTTGCAGGATCTACTGAATCCATTAATTTTTTCCCTGTTTCAAGAATGCATCATCAGTCACGAACAACTGCAAAACATCAAATTCTTGTCATTTGTTTTTTGAGGGAGTTGGTGTGAATACAGAAATACAAGACAATGGAAGTGGGGTCAAGTCCACACAGAAGTAGCCCACACACTCATCAAATGAGTCATCTGTGTTCTGAAGGAACTGTGCCACCTAATAGCAACACCTGAAGACTCTGCCAGACGGCAGAAAGTTCCATCGGGTATGCAATGAAAAGAGCTCTAAAGTGATTAACATAATGGTGGTGATTACTCTGGGTCTGATTTTTCAAGTGCCCTCTTCTGTACATGTGGCTAAGAACACATCGCTTGAATGGATACAGTTAAGATTTTAACACAAATAGAAGTGGGAGATTGAAGACGGTTCAAGATGTTCTTCAATTGGGACTAAAAAATGGCCGCTTAAAATGATGCTGTGGAGTGTATTTATTGATATGGAAAGATAGTCACAAAATACTAGGTTTTCTAAAGTAGGTTCTAAAGCAGTATGAGCCCACTTATGTAACATAAATTTATATCCATCCATTGAGAGAAGTCTGAAAGGCATAATATCTCTGGATGGTAGAATTATAAGCATTATTTCTTTTTTCTTTCTTTTGCTTATCCATGTTTTCAAATTTTTCTACCCCAACCATGTATTACATGTACAATTTAAAGTTCACCAAAATATACACTTTATATCATTTGCTGTGCAAGGGTTTGTTCAGGTAGAGTCATCCGATCTTTTTACACAGGATGGTCTCAGAATCACTCAGTTTTTATCTGTCTATACTTATCCAGATCCACAGGTTGAATTAAGAACAAGCAGGAATAATTGCTACTTTCACGAGATGTTGTGTTTGTCATCTTGCTTTCAGAAGGCAAGTCCATGTTTCCAACTATCCATTCAAGGCCCTGGTCCCCAATGCCAACCCAGCCGTCTGACATGTCCCATCTTATTCTCTTTCCCCAAATCTGTTCTTATATAGATTTTTTTTCTCACTCCCTGCATGTGTGGGGTCCCTGGCCATTGCTCAGTTTACCCATAAGCAGGTAAACTCTTTCCTCTGGCCTCACCCATCAAAATCTCCATCCTCCAAGGCCCATTTCAAATGCTTCTTCGCTGGAAGCCTTTCCTGAATTCCCACAGGCTGTGAGCAATTCAGTGTTGCGGGGGTGGGAGTGGGGGTGAGTGAGTGGTGAAGCCAGATGATGCTTCTATGGTCTCTGCTTTTCCTGGGTCCTTCTCAGGAACAGTAACTACATCAGCGAGCAGCCAGCAACCCCCATCAGCACCCCACCGGTAAAAGCGCATTTATAAGGTGAAATTACATAGCTTAACCGAGAATACATACAACAACAGGAACTGGATTCTTATTAAAATGTTCCATCATAACTCACAGGTTGTTTAGGAGAATTTCAAAAGCATCTCAGAACACACCTCTCCCTCTAGAGTCATAGCATAGGTTTTGGCAGAAATAATTTTGCTGGCTGTTGCTAATATAAAACAGCAGGAAAAGATGGTCTGGGTGCACACAAGGACATAAGAAGCAAGTCCACCCCACAGGTCCCAGGGAAACAGGGAGTCTTCTGACTTGGCAAAATGGATGTGGGCTCCTCAGGGCAGCAGAACGACGGCTCCTCAACTCACTGCCTCCTCCTCACCCCAGCTGAGAATTCTGGCAGCCCTGGAGGCCCCCCATCCATGTTTCCTGGTTCTGTCCTGCCCCTGTATGCCACCATGAGATACTGCCACTTTCCAAGTGGGAATGATACTTCCACTTTCCAAGCTCCTCCCAGCCCATCTCTCCCGGGCGTCCCCTCAGCCAGGCAGTGGGGGTCTCACTGGGGTGTAAGTGGCCTGGAAGGGTAGTCACAGACTCCTTGGTTGGAGGGAGGCAGGTCCTGACCCAGCTGGGCTCAGCTTCTCATGGGGCTCCAAACCCCCCACGTGTATACACCTTGATCTCTGCCTGCAACCTTCTAAATTCCACTCCAACTCCCACCCAACCTCCAAGGCCAGCTGAGGTCTCTCTCACCTAGGAAACCTCCCCCTCCCCCTGCCTCTGCCCAAAACATCTGTCCCCGCATCCTCACAGCATAGCCTTACTGTCATTTGTCTAGTCTAGGGCACACGTGAGCTTTGCTGTCGGGCTGCCACTTCCCAGGCCAGGGCCGACCACTTGCTGGCTATGTGACTCAGGACAGCTTACTTTCCTGCAACTTCCTCAGTTTCCTTAGCTGTAAAATGGGAATAATCACAGTACCTGCCTTATAGAGTTGTTGTGAGGATTCTATGAACTAAGCCAGAGTTTCTGCTGCATAATAAGAAAGTGTTCACTTTCCTCTGCAGAGCACATCTTTCTCAATTTAGCACATTCTTATTTAACTTTCTATCATTTACATCTTTACCCATACCTGACCACTGGAAAAACCATTGCCTTGACTAGACAGACCTTTGTTGGCAAAGTAATGTCTCTGCTTTTTAATATGCTATCTAGCTTGGTCATAACTTTCCTTCCAAGGAATAAGCATCTTTTAATTTTACGGCTGCAATAACCATCTGCAGTGATTTTGGAGGCCCCCAAAATAAAGTCTGCCACTGTTTCCACTGTTTCTTCATCTATTTCCCATGAAGTGATAGGACCAGATGCAGAGTAAGTGCTTAATAATTACTTACTGCTCAACTTACAAAATGGCAAAGGCATTGTCATCAGCAGAATAGACTAAACCAAACTTTCAGTCACAGGTCAGTGTACCCGACTCTGCAAAACAAACCACCCTGAAACATGGTGACTTAAAGACCCTGATGACCACTTCTCAGGGTTCTGTAGATCATCAGGGGGATTAATTCTGTTGGTTGGCAGCATTTGACCAGAGGGTCAGTGGGACTGGAAGGTTCAAGATGGCCTGACTCGTGTTTGGCGGTTGGTACTGGCTGTTGGCCGGGCTTCTTGGCTCCTCTCAACTTTTCGTTCTCCAGTAGGCTAGACTGGGCTTCCCAGCCTGGTGAGAGGTGGGGGTGTCTCAGGAACCTGAAGTGTTCCAGTGGAAGACACCTGCATGTCGAGGTCTAGGCTCTGGCCCTTGCCGTGTCACTGTCACCATAGTCTGTTGATCACAGCAGGTGCCAAGGCCAGCCCAGAGCTTAGGAGTGGAGAAACAGGCTCCCCGTTTGATGGGAGGAGGGGCAGAGTCATACTGCAAACGGGGTGTAGACAGGGGGGGCCCCAGTCCCGTGGGGCCATTGCTGTGAGCACCTCCCACACATCCCTGATAGGAGGCTTGGCAAACTTGTGAGATGACCGTCTCGGTAACCTTTCTCTACTGTGCGTTATGGTTTAACAAGGGATTGCACAAGCGCTTGCAATGTTGACCTTCACAGCAACCCAGAATTCCTCTGAGGCAGGAGAAGAGGTGTGACCCTCTTTACCATGCGTTAATAGAATAGAAAGCCGAAGTTGTACACGTTCCCTGACTCACACAGTGATTATGAACAGAATTAGTGCTAGTGTGGCAGTCTCATTTTTTTTTAAAGTAAAAGTGAAAGAAGCTCAGTTGTGTCCAACTCTTTGCGACCCCATGGACTAGACAGTCCATGGAATTCTCTAGGCCAGAGTACAGGAGTGGGTAGCACTTCCTTTCTCCAGGTGATCTTCCCAACCCAGGGATCGAACCCAGGTCTCCTGCATTGCAGGCAGATTCTTTACCAGCTGAGCCAGCAGGGAAGACTTTTCTTGTGAAATAGTTGTCTTACAGAAAGTGTGGTAAGTAATACAAATAACCCACCCATGTGACACAGCCAAGCTTAAAGATGGGAATGTGAACAATTGATTGGAAGCCCCAGTGTATATCTGTCCCCATAACATGCCCTCTGCTTCCGTATCACCACTGTCTCTGTGATGGCAGCTGTCTTTATTATTTTTATTTTTTACTTATTTATTTTTAATTGGAGGATAATTGCTTTACAATACTGTGTTGGTTTCTTCCATATATCAACATGAATCAGTCATAGGTATATATACACAACTTCCCTCTTGAAGCTTTCTCCCACCTCCCACCCCCCACCCCATTCCCATGTCTCTAGGTTATCACAGAGTACCAGGTTTGAGCTCCCTGTATCATATAGCAGATTTCCACCAGCAGCAGTCTTTAAATTATGTTTATTATTTCTACACATAGTTTTTATGGTTTATAAATATATTTTTATTCACAAATGACAACTACCATATTTCCTCATTTCTAAAGCACACATTTTTTTCCCATTATAGTTTATTCCAATATAGTTTATTGAATATAGTTTCCTGTATACTACGATCTTGTTCGTTATCTGTTTTATATATAGTAATTTGTATCTGCTAATCCCAAATTCCTAATTTATCCCTTCCCCTCCCTTTCCCCTCTGGTAACCATAAGTTTGTTTTCTGTGTCTGTGAGTCAGTTTCTGTTTTGTAAGTTCATTTGTATCATTTTTTTAGATTCCACCCATAAGTGATATCAAAATGTTGGTTTCCTTACGAAGCTGGATGGGAGGATGTAGTGTGACTGTGAAGTCAAGTAGTATTGCTAAAACTCTCTTGTTTTTAACTTATCCTCCAAAATGTACAGCACACATCTATTTTTGCATTTGAATATCTCTGAAATCATGATGCTCTTATAACTGATGATACCTTCCAATAGCTAGGTGGCAATCATGCCCTATTGCCTGGACATCCAAAAGCAGCAGGACCAAACTTGCTGAAACTTGTGGAGACATTAGCTGGGGCACTCTTCCCCTTCAGGAATCAAGTGATTGTGAGGAGATTGTGGAGGTGATGATAAATCAGAACCATCCAGCCATGTTATAGAAGGAGGACTCTAAAGCTTAGCTATACCTAACTGTGAAAATAGCTTAAGGGCCCAGTGACAATGACTGTGAGTTTTCTTATGAGTTACTTAAGAATGCCTTATCACCTATCCTGTAGTTGGATGGAGGATTTATTATTTGGGAAACACAGACATCTGTGACTTCAAGTCAAGAGAATTTAGAAGAGTTAGGATTTATATGTGCAAAAGTTGGGGGAACCCATAACTGATTTATTTCATTTCTATTTCCCCTTTTTATGCATGCAGAGAGTAATATACGGTATAAAAGATTGTCTAATCAAGTATAAAGTATCTAATAAGTGACATGAAAGCATTTTGTCATAGTTTAGTTATCAACATTTTTTTCTCTCTTAAGGATGTGTAAAGTAATGGTAGACCTTACAAACTTTTAAGTACAGGATGTTAAGGTGTACCTGCATTTCTGCATACCATGCATGGCTCTTTGTTCAACATTATGCTTTCGAGATTTTTTAGTTTGATAAATCCAGCCCCATTTCATTCATCTTAACTCCTAAATAAAATCCATCATATAAATATAGCATGTTTTATGTATCACATTTTATCCA